GCCCGCCCGGCCCACGCCCGGCTGTCAGCCCCCAGGTAGGAGATGCCGGACAGAGCGATACAAATACAACGGAAAAGGAAGGGAGGTAAGCTGGGGGGTAATACCTATGTTCCACGCCTCCTCTGTTGTGGATAATCGTGCAGAAAAAGCTATCACATACTCCCCTTTTTGTCAAGCCACACACTTGACCTTCTGAGGCAGAGCACTAAAGCTTAAAGCTCTAAAAGCTTATTTTGCTTCAGGAAGCAACACGTGACCAGAAAACAAATACACAAACCAAACCAAAAATATAAAACTAACTGAATAAAAGTGCCTGTTCAACATAAACAGAGCTAACCTAAGTGAATTCGCCTGTGGGATACAGACATGAAGCTGGTTTCATAAGAAGCAAGGAAAAAAATGCACTAAACACTTTTCCATTATACCGTGCATGCGGCACCTGTTTGTCCCTGCCCAGGAAATCCATTTCAAACAGAATTTGACAAGGGTGATCTAACTAACCTCCCTTGAGTTTCCATTAAAACAGGTGGCTAGGCAAGGTATAGAGAACCCCTGAATGGTCCCAGCAGAGGTCAAAGCGGAAGGAGGAGTTCAACCTTTGAAATAAAGAATCCACAGACACATGTCCCTCCCATCTATACTTAAAAAAAATCACAGACAAGTAAGCCCCACCACAAGATGCACTGATAGAGGAAAATATGATTCTTATTTCTCCTCCATGTGGTCCTACCTTTCTATTTAAATGGCAACATGAAAACCATCTCCCATATACTGATTTAACTGGTTTTCTTCATTAACCACAATGAAACTGTTTTTCCCCCTAACTGTTCAGTTGAACTTAGATGTATTAGAAGAATTTGGTTTTATTATTATTAAATTGGTAAAAAACAGCCACTTAGAAAATGGCTTAGTCTGTAAAATCACATCCCTAAGACAGGCACAGACATTATATACACACTCTTTATAGACTAAGCCATAAAATTCTTTTTCCTTGCAATTGCTTCAAGTAAAATATTTTTACAAGAAGGTTGTATGTTTTAATACTTAAACATACAAAACCAGCTCTAAGTAAATTATATTCAATAAAAGATAATTGCCTTCTTCCCTAGAACGCTTTCAAAAACACCCAAATCCTGCAAAGATTAAGGCCTCTTCCGTCTGTCCTATAGATGCAATATCCAACAGCTTGCAAGTATTCAATTTGTAACTCTGAACAGAACAGAGATAAATCCATCAGGCACTTCACTCCTCTTTTTCCTTTGGGGTGGTAGAGAGTGGAAACAAGCATTTCCAGGGCTATTTCTTCAAGGGTGATTAAGTAGTACTCTCCTTGACTGTTTCGTTATTTCAGCAGCCGTTTTCTCTTTTTCAGAAGTGCATCTCGAAGAGCCAGCTAAAGATGAAACAAGAGCAGAACATTCAGGTAAGGAGAATATTAAGTAAGGAAACACCACCACTGTCACATCAACAACCCTCTTCAATTTTTTTCAACTTCAGAAAACCACTAATTTCTTATCAGCTAGAACTGGGAGCAGTACCTGGCAAATGTTAACGACTGCAGTGGCAGAAACACTGTGCTTATTTAGCGAAACTCAATAGCACAGTTAAAGAAAGAGTTGGGCTTCAAAAATACATATTTCAGTACATCAGTAGCAGATCCTATATAAGGACAAAGATTAGAGTAACATAAACTGTTCTTCCACTGACTCATATTCAACTAGAAGGGATCCAAGTAAAAACTTCAGTCCAGCTAAAGGATAAGTAGGATTAAATGGCATTTTCTGTAACAGTATTACAAACCTTCTTTTCAAGGGGGGAGGAGGGATGCTGGAATTTTTACAAGTGCCTTATCACTCTAAAGAGACTTGGTTGTTTATTTCAGACATGTTTTAGTTGGTAAGGGGATTTAGCTCTGGACTAGGGAGTCCATTTCATTCTACCACCAAAGAGGGCAGCAGAACACAGTATCCTACAGCTACGGTACTTCAACTCACTTTGAACAAGTATTTCCAAATCGCGGTCAACAAAACTGATGCTGTGGCCTAACTGTAATGAAAAAAAGTATGAAAAAATTCTTCTTGCACTCTTTTGCTGTTAAAATTTCAACTTGAATCATTAATTGGGAGTAAGGACTGAAACCATTCAGGATGGCTTTTTAGAAAAAAGGGAGCCAAGTAGAAAAATCATTGTAAACACGAGTTTCCTAAAAGTGCCTGGACCGTGCTTTTGCGACATTTTTTGTGTGTTTTGAGAGCTGGGTTAATGTCATGAGCCTTATTTGGGGCGAGGCAGAATGATAGCATATAAAAGGATGATAGAGGATATGATTTCAAGTTTTCCTGTTTAACAGGAAACACTTGACACACGTTCTCTCTATTCAGTCTGTAAACACTTTCAGTCCTGCTGCAACCAACTGCAGACAAACATATATTATCCTAATGATACGATCCTGGAAACAACACACAAAGGAGGGTTTGTAAAAGAGGCATCTGAATGCACTCTACCACAAGACAGAGCCTAGCAAGAAAACACAAAAATTAACACCACCCAAAAACAAGAGCCCTGCGTAACTGGATTATTCTAGAAGTTTTTCATGGAACATGTTCAAAGGAGCTCAATTTTATAACACCCCGTAAAACCCTAGACTGGCCATCTGCCAGGCTAGATAGAAGGATTTTAAGGCAGATTTTTGTTGGTAGCACAGACTTACGCTGCCAAGGTCAAACACAGCAGGGCAAGGCAATACAATACATACTGTATTACATATTACACCAATACCTACAGCAATTCTCTTGCAACAGCTGCCACAGTTCAGGCTTATCCCCAGCCGAGGTGGATCACAGGAGCAGGGGGGCTCCCTGTCCACGCTCCGTTCTGGCCAGCTCATCTAACCCCAGACACCCGGGGGAGCTACGTGGGTTCCCCTCCCAATGCTTTCAGAAGCGAAGTCCTCCCCTGAAGTTTCTGCCTTGCCTTTTAGGTATCTATCCCTTAAGCTACCCTTGGCACAGCCTGTGGGAACGCACAGTAACTGGACTGCCCGATACCTGCGCGTAGCTCATACGCCCTTTCACAAGGGCCAAGCTTGTAGCTGGGGAAGCAGGAGAGGGCGTGAGCATAACCACAGAGCACAGCATTTTGTGAAATTCCTGTGGCAGGCTACACTGAAGCAATTTATTTTTTCCGAAGATTTTTAAATAGGTAGCAAATAGCATTTATACCTGTGCTTTAAGTACATTTGTGACAAGCTATTAGATGACCTCCAGGCCAAGACAGATGAGGCTGTCATGTGACAGTAATAGGAGAAAGGTCAAAGAAAGAATATGGAAACTAAAGAAACACAGTAAAAGCATGTCCTGAACAACTCCTCCTCCGTGTCAGGGAAACATTTCTTGCATCACAGGATTATAGTCGGGGTTCTACTATGACCTGCTTTAATTTGTACAACGGAAAACAAACGATTTTATCATTGCCTTCCTAACCTGCATATGACTTTCCAACGGGGCTTGGTCCTCAGCACATATTAAAGAAAAGAATCAGACAAAAGCATTCTTCACCAACACAATCTCTGATAGGATCCTCTGGGTATGATTCAAAGGAAGCCACCCAGCCCACAGTCCTTTCCAGCAATTAAATAGCAACAACTTCAGGCACAGGATAGACAGCACTTGACCTGCATTTTAAGTTCACTATTCAGACTGCTCCATCTGTTCTCAACATCAAATATTACCTGTTTTTCCCTGAAAGAACGCTTATTTTTTGTCCGGACACTATGGCTGTATCTCATCATCATGAAGTTCTTGTGTTTTTTCTTCTCTTTGTTGGAAGAGCTGGCAAATGGGTTAATTCTTGTTTTCTTTTTCACAAATTCTTTTCTGTCTGTTTTTCCAGCCTAGAATAGAAAATGTAATGTACTAACAAGGGGTCATCTTCCCATTTTCCTTTCCCTACAAGTTACCGTCAGCTGCTAAGGCGACAGGTTTTGTGGCAGTAACGGATCCAGGTTCAGTATGACTTTCTGTGCATATTACATGCATTCATCGATCCTGGCTGTATTTCTTAAGTCACAGTAACAAGTGGGTGTGTCTGTATTTTCATTATCACCTGTGATCAACAAGAGGCTGTTTATCTGCTACAGCCCAGATGCAACAGCAAAAAAAAAAATACACAAAACATTTCTCAAAACACAGATGGCAGCTGGGCACCCTGCCTTAGACCCACAACCCCACCACCACCACTACCTCCTCCTCCTGCAGGAGACAAAAACACAAACCCTAATCTAGAAAGACAGGATATGAATTAGCCAAGATCCTCACCATTGCAGTTGCCAATCTGGTCTCCTTGTCCGATTTAGGCTTCTTATGCAGATGTTCAATATCTCTGAGTGATAGCAACTCTCCTCTGTACGCACAAAAATCCAACAAAAGGCCATCACACACAAAGCTTCATCTAGCAAGAAAAATAAGTTGCCCTCCTGGCCCTTGGTCTCTCACCCATCTCTTAACGCCGTTGTCTTCCTATAGACTTTCCCACAAGCACTTGTTCTTTCTCTCAGGCTAATCCTCGTGCTTGGGAGAAACCTTCCAAAGGTCTCTCATTACTGGTTTTCAAGTCCTGCTTTAACCACAAAGTTTACCAACTCTGGAGATGTAACCATGCAACTACTGCTATAAAAAGCATGCCTATTGGTCTGAGCAAGCAAAACTGTCCCATAGTTCCCATTAGCGCCTCATGTCTCCTCGCCCAGGCACGGACAATTTTCCAGGCCAGGAGCCCTTTAGGCTGAGTGGCCGTTTGCCACCTGTCACGAGGGAATACTGACCAAGAGCAGAGCTCTGTGCCCTTCCGCAATTAAAAGCTGTATCATCACCAGGTTTCAAGGAAGAGAAAGCACTCATCAATACTTCATATCCTACCTGCCCTCCTCCTCTTCATCATCTATTTCAATCATTTTCCTCTTGGCAGCTTTGCCAGGTGCAGAATTAACTTCTTTGGAGAGCTGGGCAAGGCGTATTTTGTGAAAGTCTTCTTGGGTTAGCAGCCTGCTTGTACTGACCGCTGCAGCTTTGGCTTTTCGTTCCTCTATGGGCATGTTTTTCACCTTCTCCGCCTTTTGGAAAAAAAAAAAATACAAAAGAACAATCATGCAGAGCTTTGCAAAATATTTCTGCGCCCTCATCCATGACCCTTGCCTCCCAAATACCAATGCAGGGACAATATTGTTGGGAAACGCTACAACCCATTGTTAGGATTCTTCATAGTCTTACATTCGACATGCATTACTTCCGCTCCTTCATATCTCAGAGTTAATAAAAGCACTTATGTAAATATCATAGCATTTAAGGAATTTAGCACAGAGACAGAATTCCCCCATCTCTCGCCCTCATGCTAAGAACACACATCCTTCAGCACAGGTGCTAAGTAGTACTTCAACCTCACTGATTCTGGTCAAGTTACTCTGCAGCCCTGTATAGTTACTGATGAGCGGCCACATGAAGGTACACAGCAACAGAATCTGGGCTGCTACTATAACAAGACTTATTTGTATTTGGGGTAGAAGACACTTAGAACTCACTACTTCCTGCTGCTCCTCATCTGAAGAGTGAGGCACATCGATCCATTCTCCGTCTTCATTATCTTCTTCCTCACTCAGACTAGCACTTTCCCATCCATCTGCTCAGGGCAAGAAGCATACAGCATTGTTAGTACAGATACAGTTTAACTGCTTGAGTTTGAAATAATTTCAGATTGGATCGCAAGTTCTCACCACCTTTGATTACCTATCAGCTAACTGCATTTATGCCCAGGGATGCGCTTACCAACCAGGCAAGCTATAGGGCCTCCGCATCCCTGCCTTAGAACTACACAGACATTAAAGACATAAGATACCTCACACATCTGATTACTATTTGTTCATGATTTTTAGAAGACATCCACAGATGAACAGACCAGAGACTCCCATGCTTCCCCATTAGCAAGTTCAGCTACCAAATTCCACATGGCTCGCAACCGATTCAGAGCTGCGCAAAAATCCTCAGCTTGGATTTCTTAGCGCACCCACGTGACGTTCACATTCACTTAGGACACCAATTTTTATAGCAATAGATGCACATAGCAGCGCGAGATCTTTGAAAAAACACACGCACTCCTACAAAAGACTGCTTCAAACAGCTGGTGTATTTTGTCATTCCTGTGAGCTGCACTTGCCTTAATACATTTATTTATTACCAGCTTTCAACAAACCTGGAACAACGGCGATCAGAGCCTTTACTGGAAATGCATTTCTGTACATGTCATTCACTAAAAGCCAAGCCAACCATATATAATATATACATATGCATTGCTGCTCTTCATTGTTGTTCAAACTGATGTGCTAAAGTTATCAGCTTCCGAAACCCAAGCGAAGAAGGCTGTTATACTAATCGCTGCATTCACATGCTTAAGAAACATGATGTATCAGGGAGTTTATTCCTCCAGTACACCTCAGCTGCACTATCTCCAATGCCCTCAGGCTTGATTTACCCAACTCTTCTGGCTTGGTTTTCAAGTCCCTCCCCATCATTTGTTTTACGTCCAAATAAAATCTTAGCGCCAATGATGCTCAAAATAGAAGCGGTAAAGACAAAAGGCCAACCTTCGTCTTGGGTTCCTCCCTTTCCCTTTTGACCCTCAACTTCCAGTACTTCCGCTCCTGGAATATAATCTTTGGCATCCAGTTCTCCGTATTCGTGAATCCTGGCTTCCAACGAGGCCTCAGTAGGCTTTCCCTATAAGTTAACAAAATACGTGTGAAGCAGGCTGCTATTTTCATGCCCACAAATACATGAAAAAAGCTGGGGAGAGGCGGGAGTGATTCAACCTCATTCTCAAGAGGCTACGAGACTAGTCCTCCTCATCATTTTTCAGCACGTGAGCCTATGCTTATGGTGAATGCAATGCAAATAACACAACACTCACTCTGAATTTCTTCTGCAGCATCTCTGGATTCAGAGAACGGAAAAGGTGTATCAGAGTTCTTGCAGACATCATCACATCTATCCAGAAATAAAGAGAGTGAAAAATAAGTATTGAAAAGCAGAATTCTGAGCAAACTGAAAGCCCACTCAGATAATCAGTATTTACAGCCTGCCCGTGCCTTTTCTGACGTTATAGCTCCCTCTGATTTCTCCAGGGCAGGATACAGCTCTTCCTTAGGGCTAAACCTCTATGAGCAAGCAGTTTTCCTTCTTCAGTTTTGCCAGCTAGCTCCCCTGCCATATCTACCCTTTTGACTCCTACATATATACACTCAAACTACAGAGCAATGCAACAGACATATTGAAAAGCCCACAGAAAAACAATTAAGACATCACGATTATAAAGGCTATAACAATGGTGGATCAGATGATACAGGAGAAAAAGAGATCTACAAGTCACAACCACGTAATACACTTACTTTTATTTTTATGAGTTTTGTACTGAACGAGGTCTTGGAGCAGATCTTCGGTCATGGCTAGCGGACATCTCGCAGTGATTTCTTTTATCGCATTGATTCTAAAAAATTGAAGTGAATTATTTTCTAAACACTGCAGGTGGGAGAGAGACTCCCACCGGCCCAGCAATAGACTGAATTATCTGGAACTTGAAGAACCTTATACAGCATTTATACGACATTTCATCTAACAGAGGAGAACATCACAAGGAGCTCTCTGTGCCACAGTTCTCCAAAACCCTTCATCTTTGGCCCATACTCTACGCTCCAGCTATTATTTTTGTCCAATCCTAGGCCTCAGCATTTCGCAAGTGCAATCTGGGTCCAGGCAGACAGGAAAATCAGTCAATCACCAGGCCAAGAAAAAAAAAAATTTAAAAAATAAAATCAAGAAACATTTCTGAAGTCAACCATGAGCAGGTTAAGGACAGTGTAACCAAAGTCTGTAGGCTCACACAAGTTCACATTTAAACCATCTTCGGGCACACACTTAGTATGTTAAATACCTGGATTAAAACCATGCCAAGGGAAAAAGAAATAGCTCACAAAATATTGACGTGTCTACACACAATCGTCCGCCCCTGTCGAGTGCTTCGTCTTCTTCAAGGACAGTTCAGCTGTCTCCTACATTTACTGATCCTCCTCTACTCCACTTACAGAGCTTTCACAAATACCTCTCTTGACTAGTCAAAGCAAGTACATTATAGGTTCACTAAGAGCAACATTTCAATTTGCTGTCAGTAGTCAAATTTCATCCACAAAACCAAGTTAAGAGTCCCGAACTATGATGCTAGCCACTGAGTATGTACCAATATATTAATTCACAGACAAGAGGTCTGCCCTCAAAGCAGAAATAACAATACTCGGGAAGAAAAATACAAGACCAAATGACAAAGAAAAAAAGCATCATCACAAAATCCAGAAAAGTTAAGGCATAGCACTAAGCACAAACCCCCATCATTATGGGGAATTTAAAACACTGCCAACCAAAATAAGCGAAGTTTCTGCTGAGATACCATCCTAACTTGGTTTTATTCAAGCAGGTTCTTGAAAGCATAGTATGAACAACAGGAATAAGTTGCAGGCGGCTTAAAAAAAGGAGAATACTCAGAGAGAGTTTTACAGTTTTTGTAAGATTCTGTACTCACCCTACCGTCATGACCTCCCCAGAATTCTTGTCAGTGACAAAGTTGTTGGCAATGGTCATTAACACTGACTGGATAATCTGAAATTAAGAAAAAAGATTAAACAAACTTAATGCATATTTAATAAAATTGTAAAAATGATTACACATTATTAACAGACAACCCAGCCTTTTTCACACAGAAAGATACAGCTCCGGAGTTTGCACTATAGCCTGCAAATATCTTCCAGACACAAATTCTCTTGCGGAAATGAAGACATCAGACAGGGGTGGTTTTATACAAAATAATCCCTTGGAACTGGCACAAGTAGCCAAAATTATCATAAGCTTTTCAAGACAAAGGGTCTGACCAGATTCCCTTTTCCCCCTCCCCACAAACACATCGGTTCTATTTCCATGCTGGCCTGCTGCCCAATTTTACATCACCAAAGACAGGTGAAGGACTGACCTCGGGCGGTACTAGCTGATGTGAAGCTTGTGCAGCAAACAGAAGAATCTTCGTCACTTCTGGAAGAAAAGCAAAGTGGGAAGAAGATGCTGAAGTACGTTGCTACAGCTTAGTCTGGCCAATAAACACATCCACCAAAAGAGCGACCTCTACAAGCTGCTCAGCCTAAGCCTTAAAACCGTTTCAGTCTAAAGTTATTTGGGACAACCAATTCTCCTCTCCCACCAAGCACTAGAAACTGGTCTGGTCTCCACCCCAGCAGCAGTGCAGCTGCTAATAGCCAGCTAAGACAAAAAGAAATGCTCTACAACTAGAGTGAAACACCTGTAAAAGCAGCAAAGGACAGTCACGCTTTGCTCAACTAGTCAGGATTTGCAAGGAACCAGCGACTCAGCAGATGGATTTTATTCCATCGTTGGCGTTTCACAAATGGTCAGGTGTAAGGAGCATTGAGTGCACGCAGCTTCCACAAAAGTCCAAAACGCTCTGCACTTGTGGCAGTCAGGGCCTCTTCCGTCCTTCATCCACACTCTCTGGACTACTCCTACTACCTCTTCACTTGCAGCACAAGTTCTAAGAACTGACTGTACATGTGACATGATAGACCAGCAGTCTATCATGTAGTAGCAACACCAATAGTGTTATCTACTAGTAGCTACTTACCTCTCTGATGGGGCTGTAGGAATCTCTGAACAAAGGGGTAGAAATTAAAAAGAAAAAGCTGCAGGAAAGAAATAAATGGTAACAGATTAGCTTCTTGTCTTTTAACTTGAGAACACCTTGATAGGCCGATATGCCGTAAAACAATGATTCTACAGAGCTTTCTCTCCAAACACCTTGGATTTTATGGCACGATGCATTCTCCTGTCATGAGCGTGAGATAGATGGAGATAAGGAAATGACTTGCACAAAGGAAATACAAGGTTCAATCCCAAACTCTGAAATCCAGACAATGGTTCTTTGTTAGACGGGACAGAATTCAAATCAGGGCTCTCTGCTGCAGGATCCTACAACACGCTGCTTCCCTTTGCCTCAGAGACATAACCTTCTCTCCCAAAACAGAAAGAGACTCCGGTAATTTTGATCACACTTTGGCTGTACCTCAGCGAGTGCACAAACAATTGCCGGACTCCTTTGAAAAGCCTTTCTCCTCTGAAGAACCTCGCAGGAGCATGCGAGCCTTGAAACAAACACCTTCTCCTCTCCTGGTTAGGGACAGCTCAGCTGTTACAGACCAAGAGCTTTCTCTGGCAGAGCTCATTTAGTACCACACAAGTCTACACCACTGGCGGCTACCTGACCATACATCTGCACTTTTCAATATACAGAAAAATGAAACCCCATTTTCAGAGGCACAAGGTCAAAGCATGCCACCACACAAACCAGGCCGGCTACCATCAGATCATTATGAAATTATCGGAGCGCGTACCTCGTGTATTCCAACTAGCCTAGATATTAGGTCCATGAGCATCATCTTCACTTCAAACCGTTCCTTACAGTTCTCCAGCTGCTTCAACAGTTTCTCTGCAAAGTCTAGAAGAAGCAGTAATAGATTTATGGTAGACTTAAAGAGCACACTGCATAACTCAGCTGGGATTAGGTTAAACGAGGCAGTCACTTTTGTTTGGGGGGGGTTTAAGCCCCAGTGTCCTTGCACAGAAGAAATTAAAGGCAGCCAGAAAACTTGTTTCTCCCAATGAGTTATTTTTCTTCTCACATGCCTAGAAAGTCTAAAGCTGAGCACAGGTTCAAAGCACAAGCTGTACCACATATAAGCACAGGATCAGTATTTAAATCTAGATTTTTTTTTAGATACATTTTGGGTTCATCTGAAAAACACAATCCCCAAAGGTTTGCTAAATCAGACTAAGACCAAGTCAAGCAATATTAAACAAACACCAGACTAGTAACAGAAATACATTTTTGAAGAGGGTAAGCCAAAGAAGCTATAGTAGATAAACTAGTCCCTGTTCACACAAATTACGGCCTTCACACGTACAAAAAAAGAGGTCAAGAGCCACGTCCTGATCTGAGGCAACCTGCGGCACATGATGTAGTATTGCTCCTTCCTTGCCTGACTATAAGTATTCCGCTACGACAAGCGCAACACGATTGATCTCACTTTTTTGAGGTGCTATAAAACTCTAGGATAAAGCACTCTACAAGCGTCACATTTGTATCTACTTGTCACTTTCGTTCTCCTTGCAGAGTTGCATCTAAGCTTCAGCATCTGGGATTAAATACAACTCAAAAAAAAAGAGACAAACTACAACACATGCTTACCTTGGGGATCATGTATCAAGTGAATAGCAGAAAAGTTGAACACCTCTGGCTTGTTCTTCTTCTTCTGCTTCTGCACAACAAAAAGTAAAAGAGACTTTTTCTTTCCATGAAAAAGCTGCAAGTGCTTCGGTTTCAGGCTGCTGCTAAAAAGCTGCTATTTACCATTCTTCTATTCAAAGAGAGGCACTTGAACAAGTAACCTATGACTCTCTTCAACTGCCACCCGTCCTAAGAGGGGCTCCATTAAAAAGTCCCTTATCGAGACACCGCATACTTTAGAGTAGGGGACCACGCAAAGGGTACCCAGAGCCGAACTAATCCACAACTTAGACTCTGAGTCTGTTTGAAACCAGCTCTCTTGCAGGCAAACGCGGCAGATGCCTGGCCAATGGATGCTCAAACACTTGAGGACCTTTACCTACAACGGATGACAAAAGGTAACGAAGATGACAGGAGCAATAAGAAGATTCCTGCACTTGAACAATTAAGCTAAAATGCTGCCAAGTTGGACACCGCTCTCCTCACCTTGAGAACCTTCATCGCTTTTTCCAGTTTCTTCTTGCGCTTGGTGGTTTTCTTATTAGTTGCATACCGCATCATCAGATCTCTGGCCGTGGGAGCATCGTCCTTGAGAAAATGCAAGGAAAAGAAGATTCAGGTGACATCAGGCTTCAAATAGCAATCAGAGAAACAAAAAGTCGCTGTATTTTTCAGGATCACGTACTCTATTTGAAAACTCTCCCTCTTCCTCAATTGCATCAAACAGCAATACCAGCATTTAAAATCCTGACTCGGTAAAACTAGCCACCCACCCACACGCAAGAGAGATCGCGAACACTTAACAGCACATCACCACAGTCATTTTTACAGCTGGTTAATGACAGAGTCACAGACAAATAAAGATACCCTGTATTAGGAGGTTCTCGACTGAAATCCTGTTAGGTTATCAGCCTTCTCAAGGTAACCAAACTGCGTTCGTTTGTATGTAAATGCGAAATGGGGCACAAAAGAAAAAACTGAAGACAAAACAGATAGCTAAAAAATTAAACCAGCTTCCCATACACCAGGTGACAGCCTCTTGCCACAACTCTACATTACACATCTAGCAACCCGTGTCTTGATGAACCAGACAGACCAGTCCCTGCTTAGGTCTTCAAAGGGAATTGCTTCCTTGACAAAGAGAAGGTGAAAGCAAAGGAGCTCTTAGCAAAGGCATCCTGCTATCAGTTGGGGCCAGGTGTCAAAAACACTCTACTTTTTTGTGAAGCATAGAAACATCTGAAGGAAACAAGATTCAAAGCTAAGCACACAGAAGTGGACAGATTGGCAGAGCCAGGGTGACTAGGATGACAGGTCTATTAGAGTTTGAAAACGGAAAGGAGAAGATTTAATCACGGCACCCACCTCAGATTCTGAGTCACTGTCTTGTTTCTCATCTTCATCCTTCCCAAGAAAGAACTTCAAACCAGCAACTAAAACCTGAAAAGCAAATAAGTTTATGTAAGACACGAGTATTTACATCAGCCCTACATCAACATCTTAGCTTAGGTGAAAACTCTCCCAATTTTTAGAGGCATGGTTAGGAACAGAAAGCAAAACCAATGACAGACTGAAAGCCCAAGCGTTTTACAGATACACAGTCAATTCTTGCTGCCCATCCTCAGCAGTCAGAGGCACACAATCTAAAAGCAGCTGAGCTTCCACAACACCCGGAGCAAGTTTAAAGATGCAAATTCTCTTCCTATCATTCCGCAAAGCAATTTCAACCTCACTGCTCCATGGCAACGTTATCAGAAACTCCTCCTGCACAGCTGATACCTGAGACAGGGCTCAGGAGTCCAAACTTTTATTAGCTTATATGGATTTGTTGGTGGGGTTTTTGTTAGTTTTGGTTGGTTTTCACTGAATGGAACAGCTAACGGAAAAACTTGTCTTAAACCACAATACACGTTTTTAACACCTCCAGCTCTGCAGAACTGACACAGATGGCAGAAGGCCTAAGATTCCCTCAAGCCCCAGGCTGGATAGCAGCTCTCTTGACAGCTAACAAATGAAAGCCTTACAGCGCAGATTATGAGGCAGCGATATTCTGACAGTCTGTCCTGAGCAGCAGTGGAAAGTACACGTACCCTCCCCACACCAGCCTGCACTCCTTACAGACAAGCTTCCAATTCTGCTGCTCTGCACATAGGAACCAAACACCACCTCCTCCCACAACACAAGCGGCATTTTCAAAGTAAAACACACAGAAGACAAATCATCAGTGAAGCTTGTTAGCAATTACAGCACAGAAATAAAAAGTTGCATTCGCAGGCAAAAACATAGCATAGGTAACAAGTGATTTCTGTTCTCACCTTTGTGACTTTGGAAAAGCAGGCAGTTGTGATGACATTGACTGTTTTGGCATCATTCCTGGAATAAAGCAAAGCATTACCTTTCAATTTAAGATTGCCAAACCTAAAGTATTCTCAGAAAATTATGTCTCGTGAAACGTGACTCCTAACAATCAGGAAGCTTCAAGACAATCAAGTCTCTCAACGGTCCAAGCAAATTTGCAAACTAAGGAGTTAAGCTGCTGCCATTTTCTTTTATTTTAACATAAGAGTAGCTTCATCTAAATAGATACACTTGCATTCCATCTAGTTCACACTGTGGCTGAAGGAACAGAAAGAGCGCTCTCCAGTAAAATAACTGAAGACAGATGATCACTTTTTCCACTGATAGAAAGAAAATAAACACTCTGCCAGGTGGAAAAAAAAAAAAATCAGTGCAGAATTCTAACTTTTATTAGAAAATCAACTGGATAGTTGAGATAAACTATAAGAATAAAAATTTACAAGAAACAAAGCTGCAGGAATTAATTTGATTTTATACCAAGCCTCACGTACTTACAAACCTGCTTACTAAAATCGCAGAAACCTTTACCTTTCAGCAACATTATTTTTCAGCAGTCCCTATTTTTTCACCCTTGTATTAATCTATTCTAATCTTTTTTGGAGATACATAAGCAGCAAACACACCGCTCACCAGCAGTATCGCTACTTGCATTTGTATCTCTCTACACAGTTCATTTCTGTGCAAGAACCAAGAGCAAAGGAGTGACAAACTGAACAGCTTAGAAGTCTTCAACACGTTTTCACAGTCAAGAAGCAAGCAGAGTGATCAGACAACCATCTTCTCATGCAGTTTACTGCTGGGTAACACCCGCTCTGGCATTTTGTAACACAACAGAAGAACTCAGCAGCGTATTAAGTGTAAGACAGCTATTGACAGTACTCAATGTACTTTTACTCCTTTCAATACTTAGCAAGGCAACAATTTGTCACACTGCTACCTACTAAAAATAGGAACTCTATTGTAGCTTCACAAAATAACCCCAAAATTCAAAGCGCCCATTAGATCAGTCCTCTAGAATGAGCTTACAGATTTAAGAGAACAAGAAAAACAAAACCAGAATTCCTCTTTCCACCGCACACGACAAGCTCTATACCAACACTAGCAGCTGTTATGTGCAAAAGCTCAAAAAAGCAAGCTGCACAGCTTCTGTTTCAAATGCAATACATACAATTTAGATACTGTTTTCAACTAAAACGTCACAGATTGAACCTAAATAGCTCTGAGACTTCATGCAAGACAGTATTTCTTCCCAGCTAAATGGTACAAAATACAGTCCCAACGGAACACAAAGAAGATAAATACATTTAAGTCAGAGCCTCCTAGCATTACACTGTGCACAACACGCCACGAGCAACGGCAGGACGCCCGCCCCACGATAAAGGGGGAATCAATCGGAGCCTGCCGGACCTACCAAATATTCCTTCTGTAAAGTTCAATCATGACATCCAGAGATATCTTCGCAGCAGTGGGATTGCTGTCTCTCAACATAGTATACATGAAGTTCTGCAGCGTCTGAGGAAAAAGTTGGGGAACGGTTATTACACGTCTTTCACAATATCAAGAGGTTACATGGCAGTATATCTGAAAGCTAAAATACTTACTGTGTTTACTTTATTGTTTTTGTGTTTAGCATTGACATTCTTGATGTCCGACACGATGTGAGTATACAGAGTCTGTAAATGGAGAGATCACAGGGAGTAACCTATCTGAGTCATGTAGAGAACAACGCAGATACATTACTACTCCCCCAAAGTCTCCGAGAACTACAATGAGAGACCAAACTGATTTTTCCTTTTAAGTTACAGTTGAAAAACAACAACAAGTTACCCTGTAAAGTCTCACATATGCTTTATTTTTATCTATTTAAAAAGCATACTCAATTCACAGTGCAAACAGCGAGGCAGGAAAACGAACAGCATGAAGTATGGCTTAAAAAAAAAAATCCCACCCTGTTTCTTTCAAGCACATTCTGGCAGCCAGTTTAGTCATTCTGGCGGCAGAAAGCAAGTATTTTCACTTTTATGGCAGAAAACTGGAAATATGGCTTTAACGAGCAGCCATTTTGGTTTGGATTGTTTTATTCACATGTTCTCACAACGAACTCAGTAAGGCCTGCTCTGACAGCAGCATGTTTGTGTTTTACATCTGCAGACACATCCAAACTGCTCATTGGCCAAGGCAGGCCAGGCCCACAGCCTGCAATAGCACGGTAAAGATGTTTACAGCAACACGCTTCCTTACTGATCAAACGTATAGATGGAGCCTTGCCTCTGGCACTATCAATCGCTAAAAAAGCAGACCTATTTTCAACTTTCTTATTTTGTTACCAAGGCAAGGAGAACAGCTGCCTGCTAGCGCTGCATTACTTCTGGCAAGTCGGTCAAAACCCGCTGGAAATCAAGACTGGTTGTGCTAAGCGAGCCTTACTTTTCGTAGAAGCTTATCATGACACCGCAGCAGCTGAAAGAAGAGCTCCAGCAAACTCGTTGGATTTATCAGATTCTTGTTTCTTAACAAGATCAAAGCCTTACAGAACGTCTGTAAGAGAGAAACAGGGACTCAGAACCAAAATCTCACGCCCCGCTTTCCATCTTCATTAAAAAATTAAAAAGCGAACCGTAAGCTCTCATCTCACACATAAAGGGTATACTTGAACCACAGGAGACAGACTGCCCACAACGCCTTTCGGCGTGCGCCGTACCATGCGCAGGTCTGCGTCCAGGACCGTATGGTGGTAGGAGAGCAGCTCCTTCAGTTGCTGGGGAAAGTTGGCCATGTGTTCTGGGTAGCAGTGGGCGACCTGGGCAGAGACAGAGACGGCTGAAATCGCCAGTCAAAACCTTGGGCCGCCGCCTAACCCCGGGAAGGTGTGACATATTGTAAGCAACCGGTAAAGTTATAAGTGTTCGTATAGTAAAAGTATAGTATACACGACGGAAAGTAGGTTATTATTAACACTCAGGTCTAAGAGGTATGGTGCCATTAAAAAAATCCTTTTAAAATAAATGCACCCAAGGCTCAAAAGAAAAACTTGCGTTCCTGGAAAGGGACAACAGTGCTGCAGTCATCTCGGTCAACGCACAGTTTTACAGCGACTGCGTCAGGGCCGTAACGGCAAAACTAGACAAAAGACAATCTGCCGTAACCGTTGCGCTCAGGGCAAAGATGTTGTAGTTGGTGAAGGGCCCAAGGCCCGGGTGACCCCTCGGAAGGGCAGCGGCTTACCTGCGCCAGGAACATCACCAGCTCGGCCAGCTCCTTACTGGGCTTGTCCGGCTGGAAGGTGAAAATCTCCACATGGGACTGGTAGTGGTGATACTGCTGCAGAAACTGAGCACACGCAGGGGCTGAGCAACGGCACAAGTCACACCTGTTCCCCCCCTCCCCGAGTTCCCTCAGCGCTCCCCAGCCCGGTACAACCCCCT